GGCACAGGGAAGCAACCCCCACTAGCCCCTGCCAGCCCTTCCTGGTCCGAAGTGGCACGGAAGGCCCGTCCGGCCCCGCTGCCAGGCGGCTCCGAGGAGCTGCAGCAGCTGTTTTGCTCCGAGAAAGCTCCGGCTCCTTTTACAATCAATCAGCCACCCCATCACGGCTCTTTTTTTCTTTTAAAGGAAGCAGTTAAATCCATTTTATGGAATCCAGCGGTATTTACCCGGCTACTGCAAGAGCCGCAGCCCTGCCTTCCCTTTTTCTTAATTTAAGTTAATGAAGTCATTCCCAAACGACCCACAAGGAGCCCTGGGTGCTCCTTCCCCTGGGCACTGGGAGAGAGGGAATCTCACTGGTGAAACCTGGGCTGGGCACAGGGGTTCTGCCTTGGGGGAGTGGGAGCACAAACTCCCCATGCTGGGAGAGCTCCCAACAGCCTGGGACCCAGGAAAGGGTCCCCCCAGCCCCCTCGGGAAGGGCTCCACCATTCCAGAGGGAAACTTCAACCAGGATGCAGGCCATCCAGGCTTGCTTTGTCCAAGCCTTCAGAGATGAAGCAAAGCCCTGGGGAGGCCTAGTTTTGTACAGGGGCCATTGGATTCCTGATGGGACCACAGAATCAAAAATCCTGGAATAGTTTGGGTTGGAAGGGTCCTTAAAGCTCATCCAGTGCCACCCCCTGCCATGGGCAGGGACACCTTCCACTAGCCCAGGTTGCTCCAAGCCCCATTCAACCCAGCCTTGGGCACTTCCAGGGATGGGGCAGCCACAGCTTCTCTGGGCAGCCTGTGCCAGGGCCTCACCACCCTCACAGGGAAGAATTCCTTCCCAATATCCAATCTAAACTTCCCATGTTTTTAGTTTAAAGCCATTCCCTTGGGGATCCCCCACCTCTCGGGCCTGGGAAGGGGGAGTCTCCGAAGGCTCCGTGAGCCATAAATTACTCTCAATTAAAAATAACCAGCGCGTTCTCCCTATTTCCCAACTCCCGACACCCCGGAGCGTGCCCACCGCTCCGGTAATTCCATTACATCTGCTCCGACAAGTGTGAGCCCCCCGCTCCGGAGCTCCAGGCCAGCCATTCCCCTCGGAAACAGCCTTCCCGCAAGCACTTTGTCCCTCGTAAAATGGCATTAAAAAAGGCAAAGATACGCCAGGCTTCAAACCCGGCGCTTATGGAATCCAACGGGACACCAGCATGCCATTAAAGGCAGAATAAAAATACCAGGAAAGATTAGACTTTTGTCTGGGGTTTTTTTTTTTCCCCCTGTTCCCTTCACCTTTTTCTTCTTAAATAAATAAATTCACTTTGTTTTGAGCAAGTTGCTGGATTGCTCCGTGGAACGAACAGAGCCGAGTGAAACTTTCTGTAAGAGGAAGAGGGAAAAGTAGAGGCAAAAGGAGCCGTTCTCCGGAGCCGCGGATGATGTGTCCCATTTCCCCCACCTCCTTATTAAAATACTTTCTGGAGAGGCGAATTCCAGCCTGAAATGAATTTTCCAAACCATATTTTATTAGGAATGCTTCCTTTTAACGGTCGGTACAGGAGCCCACCAGGGTCAGTATTTCTCCAAAATTACAGCCAAGGGAGTTGAGAAAGGATTTAGCCAGAATTTCTCGGGCAATTCCCGGCTGTTCAAGGAGAGCACGCTCCTGCTGCCCCCCAGCTGGGCAGCAAAGGGGCCAAGTAAATCCCAAAAGCACTTTCTGCCCCCCTCAAAGCCCATGTTGGACTCCGTGGAAAAATTAAAGCTGTATGGGCTCCCCAAGACCCCTTCCAAGGGGCTCCACAGGCATCCCAGGGGAAGCTTGCTCAGAGAGGTGAGCTCATCCCAGTCACAGGTTTGAGACAATTACCACTTTTTTTCCAACAAAACCATTCCTAGGCCCATTTTTTCCCCTTTAAAGACCCAGAATTATTCACAATGGGAAGACAGTGATGATTTCACCGCTGGCTTTGGGACACACACCCAGGAGCCGAAGGGAAATGCTTCCCAACGCGGCGCTGCAGCTTAAGCCTGTCTTAACTCGATTAGGAAATGGTTCCGTCTATCGGATGTGTTATCAGAGTCCCTCCGATAACACCAGCAGCCCCGGACCCGCCGGAGCTTGGAGCCCACAGCCCTCAGCTGCCCAGAAAGGGCAGGAAAATATTTTCCTTATTTACAGAGATCGTTCCAAGGCCGGCCGGGCCCAGCGGGCCACGCTTGCTCCTCCGATCCGTTGGAAAATTCCACTTAGCCGTATTATTTTTAAAGGCTTTAGCTCTCTTTACTCTAAAAACAAGAGTTAAAGCTCGGCCGAGTGGGATGGGGGACTGGCACAGCCCCGGCGTCACCCGAGGAAGGGGTCTGGAAGCCCAAAGTACAGTGGGGAGAGGGTTCAGTGGATCTATCCGGAAGAGTAATCCCAGTCAAACCAAGAGCACGGCTTTTCCTCAAGCTGGAGCCAGACTTTGCCCAGCACACTGATCTCAGACTGGTTTCCTCAGCTGGGTTTGCTGGGAGCAGTTGTGGAGAGGCTCTGCCCGACACCACACAACCGGCACAAATCGGAGGTGGGAGCACCAAGGGGTAAAAGGAAGCGACGGATCCCAGAGATGGATCCCGGAGATCAGGGTCCGGGGTCACTTCACGGGGGCACAGACTGGGATCATGGGATCACAGCCTGGCCCTGACAGCCCCCACCAAGGCAAAACCCTTACATGGGCTTTGCCCACACATGTCCCAGCATGTTCCCAGCTGGCAACGCTGACGTTTCGGGCTCTTCCCACCCTCTCCCGTCCCTGTGGGGATACGGGGATGGGGAAGCACCGGGGCTGCTGCCCCACGGCAGGCACCCACGGGAGCAGCCCCACGATGGCACGTGCCCAGAACACTGTGCCGAGGGCAGACAACCTCCGAGCCCCGAACTCGGGGAGAACCAAGGGCAGACTGAGATCCAAATTCAGGGAGAATTGAGAGTGGCCAACCACCAAGCTCCAGGGAGAACAGAGGGGACACAACCTCTGAGCCCCGAATTCAGGGAGAACCAAGAGTAGGCAACCACTGCACTCCAAACTGGGGGAGAAACACGGGCAGACAAACACTGAGACTCAAATTCCAGGAGAACCGAGAGTCGTCAACCACTGAGCTCTAGACTGGGAAAGAACCAGGAGCAGACAATCTCTGAGCTCTAAACTGGGGGAGAACCAAGGGTGGATGACCACCAAGTTCCAAATTCAGGGAGAACTCAGAGTGGGCAACCACCGAATCCAAACTGAGGGAGAACCAGAGGTAGACAACCACAAAGCTCCAAGGTGGGGGAGAACCGAGGGCAGACGACCACCGAGCTCCAAAACTGGGGAGAAACATTCGTGGACCATCTCCGAGCTCCCACACTGGGAGGAGAACTGAGGGTGGACGATCTCCGAGCTCTGAACTTGGGGAAAACCAGGAGCGGGCAACCACCGAGTTCCCAAACGGGGGAGAACTGGGAGCGGACAACCACCAGGCTCCCAGTGAGGAAACCCAGGAAGCCCTTGAGCTCTCCCCGGACACCCCACTTGGAGGGACATCTCCGAGCGCTCCGCACCAGGGGTCGGTGCCGGTGGGAACCTCCCGGTGTGCCACCCTGTGCCGGCTGATTGCCACCACCTCCTCCAACTTCCAGGCCTCGGCAGCTTAAGGAAAGCCCAGGATAGTGAAGGGGACCAGGGAGACATGGCGTCCCCCACCACCAAGCCAGAGCCACCTCTACCTCCTCCAGCTCTTTTTCCCAAATAAAACTGTATTTTCTGGAACTTATTTGCCTGCCCCTCGCCAACACCACGGGCTCACGAACACAGCAGGACAATTCCCGAGGGAGAAGGCTCTCTCTGCTCCCAGCCAACTGACACAACTCCGAAAGGAAGGAGAGGAAAACCACATCGAGGAGGAGAACGGAGCGCCGGAGCCGCCGTCCCGGCGCTTCCAGAGCTGGGCACATGCGTGTGCCGGCAAAGTTCCTTTTTCCCAACGAAATAAAGGAAATAAACGTTTGGCTGGAATACGTGTCCAAGCAGGAAGGTTGTCCAAATTGTTTCGCTTCTTTCCAACCCTCAGAAACTCTTTGGATTATTTTACGGGATTTTTTTTTTTTTTTTGCCTTCAGAAATGTGGTGGGGAGAAAAAAAAAAAATCAGGCTAAAAGCAGGATTTTTTTTTTTTTTCAAGCGAGAACGGGGTAAGATAAATAAACATTCCGTGATCTACAAGATAAAGCTCAGCAAGGGCCACCAAACCATCCTGACCACCAGCCACGGGGCAGGGGCGACCAAACAGCCTACACTCCTCCTCGTCCTCGCCCTTCATCCCGGCCTTTCGCATTGTTCCTGCACGGCAGCCGCGTCCACATCCACAGATACATAAATAAATATATAAAAATATATATGATTTGGGTGTCTGCACAGACGGAGCAGCCCCACCGCCCGCTTTGTTCGGACCCAGCCCGGTTGGGGGGGGGGGGGTCCCCCGCCTTCCTCCACGGCCGATTTCGGATGAGAAAACCCAGGAAAAAAAAAAATAAAAAGAAAAAGGTAATAAATCCAAGTGGTGGAGGGGAGCGGCGATCCGGAGGGAGAAAAAAAAAACCCACAATTTAAGCGTGAAAAATTCTAAAAAAATAAAAAAAAAAAAAAACAAAAGGCGTTCTTAAAAAATAAAAACGGATTCAAAGAGAGGAAAAGCTGCCAGAAGCAAAAGCATCGTTAAAAACGGGGGGGGGAAAAGGAGAGGAGGTGTTGGGGGTTTTTTTGGTACAAAAAGCAGCGCGGCATCGCCGCGGGTCCGTCCTCAGCCGGGGGTCGCTCCGTCCGCCGCCCGCAGCCTCCGGGTGCGATTTTCCCTTGAAAACCTCGCCGTTTCCGTTAAATTCGTACGGCTACCGCGGTTTCGGTACATTTTTGCCCGCGGGGGGGGTGCGAGGCGCGTTTTCACCCCCTCCCCCTTGCTCCCGCCCCCCTTCTCGCCGCACGTACTTGGGGTTCGCGGAGCTCCACGACACCGGCTCCAGGCTCTTGGCGAGCGGCGCGGCGAGGCGGCACAGGGCCAGCAGGACACCCAGCAGCCACCGCCCGCCGCGGGGCCGCGCCATCGTCCCTCGGCGGCGGGACGGGCCGGGCGTCAGGCGCCCATCGCGCTCCGCCGCCTCCTCCTCCACCTCCTGCCGCTCCTCTCCCGACCCGCCGCCTCCGCCCGCCCCGCACCGACTGAGGCGCCGCCCGCCGCGGCAGCCGCTCTACCCCTCCGCGCAGGCAGCGGCGCGGGCAGCCTAGAGCGGCGGCCAATGGGCGAGCGGAGCGGGGGGGGCCTTGCGGGCGGGCACGCCCATTATGGGTTCTTAAGGGGAGCGCGGAGATTTTGGGGTTTTTTTATGACACCCCCTCACCCCCCAGTTGGTGTCGGTTACTGTCGAGTTAACGGAGTGAGAGGGGGCGACGGGATGGGGACGGGCCGGCGGGGCGCCGGTACCGGCGCCCCGCCGGCCCGTCCCCATCCCGTCGCCCCTCCACCCCCCCGCTGCGCGCCCCGCTTGGCCTCGCCCGCCCATTCAGCCGCGGTCCTACAGCGCCCCCCAGCGGCCGCCGCCGGCCACGCCTCGAACGGGACCCGAAATATTCCAAAAAAACATTCCAGGATTCGGAGCGGGTTAAAGGGTTTAAAGGGGGGGGGGGGGGGGTCCAGTTTTTTTAAAGATCTGGGTGTTTTTTCCCCCCCTTTTCTTAAATATTCGTTGTTTTTTTTCTTACTCTTTTCCAGGGTTTTTAAAAAGATTTTAAAAAAGATTTTTGGACTTTTCCCCATGTTTTTAGTTGTGGGGTTTTTAAAGTCACTTGAAGTATTTTGAAGGGTTTTTTTCTTTCTTTTATATATTTTTTTTTTTCAGGTTTTTGCGATTCTGGAGTTTTTTGGAATTTTGGGACGGTTTTTAAAGTATTTTTGACGAGTCTTTTTTCCACAGGTTTTTAAATTTTTTTAAGTCCTCTGATTTTTGATTTTTGATTTTTTTAATTCTATTTTTTTTGTTTTCAGACTTTTTAGACTTTTTTATTTTATTTTGTAAGGGTTTTTATTTTTCATTTTTTTGAGAGTTTTTGACCTTCTTTAAAGTTTTATTTAAAAGTTTTCTGATGGAATTTTTTTTTAATTGTGTAGGATTTTTTAATATTTCTGTAGCTTTGGGAGTTTTTTGCCATTTTTTAATTTTTTTGTTGTTGTTGTTTTAGTTGGGCCATGGGGAAGGAAAACCCAAACCCCAGAATTAATTTTCTTCCTATTAAGAAAATTATTGGAGTCAATTCACTTTCTATTAGAAAACCAGTAATAAACCCCTTTGGAGTTGGTTTAATTTCTATTAATAAAGTTTAAAAATAAAGTAAAAAGCCCTCCCGAGTCTGTTCACTTTTTATTAAGGAGATTAAAAAAACCCCTCAAGTCAGTTTCTTTCTATTTCAAAAATAAACCAACAAACTTTGGCATCACTTTCGTTTTTACTGAGAAAATTGAAAAACAAACAAAAAGTCACTTTCGAGTACAAAAATAAACCAAAACCTCCCCAGTCAGTTCCGTTTCCATTAAAAAATTGAAATTTAAGCTCAAATCCCTTCACTTTCCATGACAAAAAAACTACAAAACCTTCCGGTTGGTTCAGTATCTATTAAGGAAATTATCAAAAAAAAAATCCGGAGTCAATTTGCTTCTTATTAATAAAATTTTTAATAGCTAAAGATTTAAATGTGATTTTTCTGCCTTTTCAAGGAAAATCCTGATCTGGGGGCATGGGGGGTCCCTGGGAGCAGGTGGGCAGCAGGATTTGGGCTGTTCCAGAGACCCAAATGATAGAATTCCAAAGTAAAATAGGGGAAAAATTTAGAAATTAGGAAAAATATTCAAAACTGTTATTTTTATATATTTGGGTGCCTAGCCAGGCTCAGGTGGGTCCCAGGGGTCTCCTCCTTGCTTATTCCCTGCCCATTCCCTGCCTGTTCCCTGCCTGTTCCCTGCCCAATTCTGCTTTTCCTGCCTGCTCCCTGCCCATTCCCTGCCCTCTCCCTGCCCATTCCTTCTCTCCCTGCCCATTCCCTGCCCTCTCCCTGCCCATTCCCCCTCTCCTGCCCCTCCACCCCTGTGCTGACATCAGGGCCCGTTGCCATGGCGATGCCGATCTCCCGGCACAGGCTCAGGTGGGATCCAGAGCCCTGGAATCCTTCAGAAGGAGGATCCTGTCCCCACAGGTTCCCTGTGTCCGAACCACCCCGCTGCCAGGATCCCCTCAGGATCACTTTGGGAACAGTTTGGGATCAGACCCCGTCTCCTCAAACCAGTGGGCACCAGTTTGGTGGTGCTGGAGGATCCTCGGGATGAGGGGAAGGAGCAGGTGATCCAGGCACAGGGGGGGGGCAGAGCCTGACGAGGATCCAAAGGTCACCAGGAGCCACTTTATGGAGGGTTCAACGGCACAGCCACACCTGGCACTCCGGGATGGCTGCGTGCCGGGAAAAACCCGGATCATGGGCTCTGCCCACTCTGGAATGTCTCAGCAACACCAAACCAAACACTCATAAGGTGGGAGAGGCCCCGTGGAATGGGGCCAGGCCTCATCCGGGGCAGTGGGACACCTTGGAGAGGTGAGCATCGCTCCGGGAGAACAGGATACTCTTTCCTAACCCTTCCCAGTCCTGTCCCACAGCGGGAAACACCTGCCTGGTAAAGTCACTCAAGGACAAAATCCTGCTTCTCCCAGCCAGCCATGGTAAGGGAATCGGCAGTGCCAAACCAGGGCAACTCTTCCAATGGTTCTGGGAAAAAAACCCAATAAATTAATTGGAAAAGGATTCCCAGGCTCAGCTGCCCCAGTGACACCGGGAAGTGGGCTGAGCTCCCGGCGGGAGCAGAGCCAGCAGCAGCAGGAAGGGATCAATACCCCAGAGGGTCTGAGCAGCCGGGGGACAATGGCACCCCATCCTTGTCCAAAATCCCAGGTGTGGCAGGTGATCCTTGTGCTTTCACCAGGAGCGACTGGGATTCCCATCTCCCCTCCCTTTTCCTGCCCTTCTCCTTCCCCAGCACTCCCAGGGCTGACCCGGATGTCCTTGTGTGTGGGTGTCACGAGTTTCGGGGACTCAGCTCCCACACAGGCTCCATCCCCAGTGTCCCAGAGGGTGGCACTTCTCCAGGCTCCCATTCCATGAGGCATCCAGGATTCTCCAGCTACCCACAGACCTGGTGCTCCCTGGAGTCCTTTCCTACAACCGGTGAGGGATAAGAAAGGGCATCACTGAATTCCCAAATCTTCGTCTTTTTGGGATCCAGGAGCTGCCTCATGCCACATCCATGTGCCCTTCCCGCACATCCCACGGTCCCATTCCCGCACTGATTCTCTGGTCTCTTGGCTTCCCTCTCCTCCCTCTTCACCTGCCTTGAAACCTCATTTAAAACAATAATGACATTGTGGGGGATGATCCGGGGAATTCACCTCACCTGCTCCATTCTAAAGGGACAAAGTGGGACAGAAGTGACTGGAAATCCTTTGGCATTGCTCCCAAAATTCTCAGCTCTCCATCCCCCCCAGCTGGCACCGTCTCTCTGCGCCCAGTCACACCCTCATCAAATAATGAGCTGCAGCCCTGAATGTGTTCCACAGCCACTTCACATTTAAACTACCTGAGACATTTCCTCGTGGAAAGAGAAATGGGATAAAACAGAGCAAAAAATGAAAATTTAGGCTGAACACCAGGAAAAAGTGCTTAGTGCAGAAATCCGGGGGATGGTTCCCCCAGGAAAGCACTGGAGTTATTTAAAACTCACCTAAATAAAACATCGGTGGGGAATAAACTTCTCTCATCCCAAAGGCACCGTGGGGCCAGGGAGATGTTTTCTGGGATGAAAGGGATGAGATCCCATCGGGCTGGGTCCCAAATGGCTTGGCACTTGAAAAGTGCTTTTCCAAGGAGCCCTGCGCAGATGGGGCCAAAATTCATGATTAACCCAAATCTTTGTAAAAAAAAGACCCACGGTTTTTTTTTTTTTTAAGGGCATGGGATACATGGAGAGGTCCAACAAGCCCTGTACCCATGGAATAGCAGCCAGCAGGGCAGGATGGGTGCCAGGGAGGCAGCGAAATCAGAGCATCAAATCCAGCAATGAAGGTGATGTCAAGGATTTGCCTTTCCCGGGATTTATTCCATCATTCCTGCTCTCAGGCTCCGGGAAACTTGCACCTTCTGCAGATGTGCTGCCTGATTAAAATGATGCAACATATTTGCTGGCTGTGTCATAGGATTTAAATTAAAAAGCCCATATTCCACCTGAAAATCTGGCGCTTCCCACCTGCCCGGGGGGCCGGGGGAGCGGAAAAGGGGGAGCTGAGGGTGTTTAATCCATCTGGGAAGGACAGAGCAGGGAAATGCAGCAGCACGAGGCCATGGGGCTCCAGAGGCACATTTTATGGGGCTGAGAAGTCGCTGTATAATGGGCCAGGGAAGGAAGTATTAAAATCTTTAACCAGTTTTCAGAGACGCGATAATTAAGGTGTTGCAAGCTACAATTGCCTGGAAAAAAAATCCAAAGGCAGGGAATAAGATTTTTATCACTTTCAGAAGTGGCCACTCATGGATTTGGGTTTTTTTTAAAAAAAAAAAAATTAAATAAGAATAATAAAACGCTGCAAGAAAGAGAAAATTTAAAAGGTGGTTGAAAAGGGGTTGGGCTGCGGGGAAGGGGAGAGAAAGCAGGAGCTGGGAGAGCAGCGGCCGGCACTGGGAAGTCGGGGAACCTGATTCAGGAAAGCACTTAGCATTGTCCGGGGTCCAGCACTTTAATCAGGAGCTTTAATGGAACTGGAGTAGAGGTTTAATGCTTAAACATCTTCAGTGGAGCTGCTCCCTTTCATCCGGAGCTCTGGGCAGGAAGGAATATGGGCCTTAATTAATGAGGCTGCAGAAATGGGTGAGAGGCTCAACTCCCGCCGGGCTCGACCCTCCCGCTCCTGCTCGGGGCAGGACACATCCCTGCCCAGCTCTGAGCAAATCCACGTCTTTGGCTGTGCCCTGGATAAGGGCAGAGCGCAGCTGGGGGGATGACAGAGGGAGAGGGAAGGGACATGGAAAACCACAGGGCAGATCCCTGGCAGGCAGTTGGTGCCTCCCTAAACATGGAGCGAGGGCAGCCGAGGGGAGACAGGTGTGAACATCCAGAAATACCCAAAAATCCAAGCTCTTCACGCTACAATCCCACCAGAAGTGGATCACCTTGCTCTTGTAAGACTAATGGTGAGGGGTGAGACGTACTGGGGAGCTGCTTTTAACTCTTCAAACAATATTGTTGAAAATATAATGAAAATGCCTCAAATTGACTGGAGTGGGAGCAGTGGGAACTACACAGTGGTAGATTCCAACAGAAATATGGGGGGGAATATTTACATATACTCATTTATATAAATAGTTGGATATATATGTGGTTTTATATTTATGTATACAGATTTATATGTATTTATCACAGAATCACAGAATATTCTGAATTGGAAGGGACCCACAAAGATCATCGGGTATAGGGATGATTTGTATTTATCTATATTTATACATGTATAGATATATATTTATATATGTGTATAAATGTATTTTTATATATTTATATATGGCTATACATGTATTTGTATATATAAATATATAATTTATACTAATAATAAATACAGTGTCCCCACTTGTGCAGAGCTTGTTGGAGGAGGCAGGAGATGCATGCAGGAGTATCCAAGGGGACACTGCCGAGGTCATTCCTTAGCATCTCCTTTAATGACCCGGCAAAAGGCACAACCACACATTAATGACCTGGCAGAGAAGATAAGCAGCTTGTCGCTGAAATTCCCACCACTATCCTGGTGTGGCGGGAGCCCTTCCACAGGCAGGGAGACATGAAAGGGGCCTAAACGGCTGGAAAGGAGCACAGGAAACTCCATGGTTTTGTTAGTGGGGGGAAAAAAAATAAATCTAATCGGATCTATCTGGGGCGAGCGATTAAAAACTTGTCGGAGGGGGAGAGCGGCAGCGGCACCTCGGGAAAATCCGCGGGGCAGGCCGGGTTTAATATGCAGCTATGCCAGAGCTCCTCTCATCCACCTCTCCCAGGGAAAACACAAAGTGCAGTTTCAGGTCACCGATCCAGCGAAAGAAGGAAAAGCCCCAAAAAGGAGCAGAAGCCGGAGGAATGGTATGTAAGCCGAGATCTGCAAACACATGGATCTGTTTTCTTTGGAGCGGGAGCGGCAAGGGGAAGTCACCGCTGCATGCAAATGTCCCGCCAGGTTTGAACACCGAAGGGGAAGTGGTGGAGGGTGGCAGAGGAACAGGAGGTGACCTCGGGCTGTGTCCTGCCCGGGGGAAGCTGCCGGGAGCCCGGAGGCTGTGCCGGTGTCGTGCTGCCGTGGGGTGCTCGCAGGATCAGGCTCGTGGCTCCCGGGGCTGCTTCCCTGCTGGCCACAGCCTTGGTTCCTTGGATTCGGTGGAAAACAAATGTGTTCCTGCCCCCAGGGCCAGATATTCTGTCCCCAGGGCCACATCTGCCATTCCCAGTGCCAGGCCTTCCACTGCCAACGTCAGACCTTCCATCCCCAGGATCAGGCCTGAACCCCAGTGCCAGACCTGCCATTCCTAGTGTCACACATTCCATTCCCAGTGCCAGACTGCCATCCCCAGGATGAAACCTTCCACCTCCAGTGTCACATCTTCCATCCCCAGGACCTGATCCTCAGTGCCAGACCTTCCATCCCCAGTGCCAGACCTGCCATCTCCAGGGTCAAATCTCCTATCCCCAGGATCACAGCTTCTATCCCCAGGGTCAGACCTGATCCCCAGCACCCCCCTCCCATCCCCAGGGCCAGAGCCCATGTCTGGGCAGCAGGGTGGGTTCCTGCTGGCTGGAGGAGGTTGAGGAATGCTGGATGTGGTCACATAGTCAGGATGCCACTGTAAGAGGGACCTGGAGGGAGAGGGGCTGGATGGGCCGAGCCCTTCTCCCAGTTCCCAACTGGCGGGCAGCCCCTCGGGGCAGGGTCCCACAGAGATCCCAGCACGTCCCCACCCGCGGTGCCCCGACCAAGACGGTGATCTCACGTGAATGAGCTCAGAGCTGGCTGGGTCCTGCCAGGATTTACATGGGAGGCTCCAGAGAGTCTGTGTGTACTCACAACCCTCCTGCCGAGAGCCACAGCTCTCCCTGAGGGGAGGAGGAGTGGGGCTCCCTTTCCTGCCTCCCCACCCTGCCCTGCCAGCTCCGGCTCCTGGCAGCCGGGCTGTGCCGGGCAGCCCACGCTGCCTTTGGGACAGCGAGACCCGGCACCCTGTACCCCACACTGCTGCACCCTTGCACCCCTACACCCTCCTACCCCTGCACCCTGCATCCCCTGCAATCCTGTATCCGTGTGGCCCTGCATCCCTGTGCCCCTGTGTCCCTACTCCTCTGCATCCCTGCATTCCTGCATCCCTACAATCCTGCATTCCTCCATCTCTACATTCCTGCATCCCTACATCTCTGCATCCCCTGTGCCCTGCACGCCTGTGTCTCTACCTTGCTGCACCCCTATACCCCTCATCCCATCATCCCCACAGCCTTGGATCCCCGAATCCCTAGATCCCATCATCTCCATAGCCCTGCATCCCTGAATCCCTAGATCCCATCATCCCCATACCTTTGCATCCCTGCATCCCCACACCCCAGACTCCCCACACCTCCCAACCCATCCCCATCCACCCTGGGCTTTGGAAGGAGACCCCATTTTCCCACAGGGCTCAACACCCTAAAATCCACTCTTCAGGTGGATCGAGGTGCCATGGTGCCCAGGGACAGTGCAGGTTTGGGGGATGCACCCCAGGGAGCTGGAGACAGTGCCGTTGCTTTTCCAGCCCTGCTGGCTCCTGGTGAGGAGCAGGACAGGGTGAAAGGCAGGAGAGGAAAGCGGAGAAATTCGGCTTTATCTCAGCAATCGGGATAAACTGACATCCTGAGCAGTTGCAATGTATCCTTTGTGGGGCTGGTAATTTGTGACAGTGAACATCACTGGAAATATCTTAATTAATGTTTATTTTGATGGCTGGGTAGGTTTGGGGTGACGTGTCCCTGAGTCTGGAATGGGAGGGAGGCAGGGTGGCAGGGAAAAAAAAAAGCTTTTTTTTTTTTGACTTGTTGCCCAAAACCACAAAAATGCCTTTTAAAGACTCCCTCCCTCGCCTGAACAGGCTCGTCGGGAGCAGAGCAGAGCTCATGGAAAGCGGAGAGATAGAAAAGATAGAGATTCAGAGGAAGGAGGTGAGGGGCAAAGACATGGGAAGGAGACAGACAAACACACACGGAGCAATTTGCATGGTTTATGAGTCTTTGATTTCAGCCTATTTACAACCTCAGCGCTCACACCCCGGTGGGAAGTTGGGAGATTACTGTACTTACCCGCGATTTCGCTTCACATCTTTATCGAGGGATCTCTCTCGCCTCCAGCCAGAGTTTAACGAGCTGCAGCTACGGCACGGACCGGCCCGGTGCGGCCGAGCCCCTTCCCCGCCAGCCTCCAGCAGCAATTCCCAGCTCCAGCAGCTCCAGCAGCCCTGCGAGGCCACAGGGACACCCCTGAGAGAAAGGCAGATCCCTGAGAACAGAGGGACACCCCTGAGAGCCCAGGGACATCCCTCCTCTCCTTGTTTTTGCCCAGCTTCAGACATGGACAACGGCATTTCTGGGGTCAGACTGGACAGTTTTGGGTTCAGTGAAGGGGAAGGAGACCCTGAGCCCAGAGCATTTGGTTCCAAAGGTGCAAGAATTCCTGCCCTGCCAGCATCTCATTCTTCTCCCATTTCTTTCCCATTTACCATCCCATTCTTCTCCCATTTTTTCCCATTTTCCTCCTCTTTGAGCCATTTGCTCCCTGCATTTCCACCAAAAAACCTGAGTTTCCTGCTTCCATCAGGCATTCCAGAGAAAGGAGATGGCTGGTGGGGTTATCAGATACAGTAGGAAGAAACACATGACCCATGGCTTTGTGTTCACTTGATATTTGAAATCTCCACATCAGCTCCAGAGCAGCTTCCAGAAACCTCACCGAGGAAAGGTCTGTTCTACCAAGAAAAGGAGAGGCAAGTGATGGCAAATTCCAGTCCCTGGGTGAATCCCTCATCCCACTGAGAGCCCCCAGCACCTGGACACACCAAGAACAACCGGCTCACTCTGGGTTTTGCGGCCCCATCTTCCCAGCTCACCCCCATCAGCACCGAGGAGAA